ACGTAAGAATCGATTTAGGGAAATTCTCTTAGTAAAAATATGTTTAATAGAGGTTGGATGACCGGGAATTTTATATCGATTTCTTAGTACAATTATTTTTCTTAGAGAGAGTTAATGGAATCCGCCTTTTTTAATGAGGGGTACTTATACTATGAGACCCACGGGTGCAATTCTCGATCTTTGCAAATTACTATTTAATGAGATTTGATGACTACGTGATGCTCCTCAGGGAAGGTCCCATGCATGATGGTTACTTTTCGGTAGTACGATGGGCATATGTCACGTTCGTATTAAATGTGATGTCTGAGGTTGAATTTAAGGGATTATGGTCTGGTCCTCTGAGGTGGGATAGCCGAGCTCTTCACTTTACTTGCTTCGTCTTGGGTTGCTAACTCCATTTCCTTTTTGTCACAGGTCGACCAAGGGATGAAGAGGTCGGGTCTTCTCTCCGATCCTTGGCTTACACCGAGTTGTTCTCCTCAATAATTGGTTTTCCTTTTCGGTCATGGGCTGACCTCAAGGCGAGTTCCCAAGTTTCCCACCGATAAGATCTTTGTTTGTCGATGAGTCAGTTGATTTTATCCGACCCATTCCCGAGCCAGATGTCTACTTAACCTATATGTCACATCAAATGATTATTGGGGCTACTGGTTCAAGTGTCAACTGTTCCATTAAACACTTAGTGTAAATTTAAATAAGAGATTTTCTTAAATATACTCCTACGATAATTAATTCCGTGCAAATTAATAAAGCAACAAATTAATTATCAAGCATATACATAATTAAAAACAATAAACTGGGAAATAATATGTAACTATTATGGTTAATAATTAATTTTCCAATCTCTAGTTGAAAGTTAGCATTTCTTGTCCTTGTCAGAATTCTGCTATGGTTAATTTTAGAAGCAGAAAATATATAGCCAAGACATGGGAACTGGGGTAAAGAAAAAAGGTGTATTAATCATCATACATGAATAGAATTTGTACATTGTTGGTATCTAAATGTTGATATCTAAATAATTTGTTCAAAAGTGTAAATAGGAGGAAGATTTATATGTAATGTATATTGATGGAAAATAGATGTTGAATGATATAATGTATAAGAAATTTGAAGTGATTTTTCTTTTTCTGCATACTCACTCATCCGAACACACACATATATATAGTACACATGGATCATTCTAGAGTACAATAATTGATCATGTCCAACCAAATGCTCACCTAATGAGAACTAATGACAAAATAATTGAACATTTTTACAACCAAATTATTAAATGAGCATTAATAATTCAACACTCCCCCGTAATGTTCATTTGCGTAATACCGAGCTTATCACGTAGTGCCTCGAATCTTGGTTTCAGTAGTGCTTTCGTAAAAATATCCGCTAGTTGGTCTTCTGTGTTGATGTACTTGAGCTTTATTTGGTTGTCCATGTATGTAGCGGTTTTGTACGCCTTGTCTTTGAATTATTCTTATAGTGACATTTCTTGTACTTATTGGCTCGACAATTGCTCGATTGCACATTCTATAGAATTCTGACTTTTCTTCTGGTGGTTTTGAAACTTGTCTTCTGATAACTGTGTAAGCTTGCTTTTCCTGATGACTTGATTTCGGGACTCCGGTATTTCTCTTCTTGGCGTCTTCTCCTTGACTATTCACACTTGATTTGGTAATTTGTGCTGGGTATTGAAATTCCATTGCAAAACACTGATTCTCCCCCATTCTGATTTTTGCAATTACTTTATTGTTCTTGTCATAAATGATGCATGATTCTCCTCTGAAATGCAAGTTGTAGCTTTTTTTTCAACATTTCGCCGACACTTAATAGATTTTGATCAATTGTTGGAACCAAGAGAACATCTTTGATGTATTTTGTCCCTTTTCTTGTATCAATGGCGATAGTTCCTTTGCTTGTTGCTTCCACATAGTTGCCGTTTCCAATCTTAACTTTTGAACTGAATTTTTCAATATTGCAAAAGATACTTTCATCGAATGTCATGTGATTGCTGCACCCGCTATCCAAGTACCAAATGCTTCTTTTGTCTTTTGTTGTACCGTTGGAAGCATAGAACAATAATTCTTCTGGTTCAGTCTCTTCTGAAAAATTTTCCCGTTGATTTTGCCTTCTGCCCCAACAGTTTTTCTCGACGTGGCCATATTTTTGACAATTTTTGCATTGATTTTTCTCTTGAAACCAACATTCTTCTTCTTTGTGATTATTTTTATTGCAAATCCCACATGGTGTATCATACCATATTTTGTTTTTGTTATTTTCTCTAAATCTTCTCCCCCCAATTTTAGAATTATGAGACCGTAAATTTATTCTCGACTGAAATGCATTTTCGACTGAATCATTTTCACGCATACTCAGTCTTTTCTCATAAGCTTCAAGTGAACCTATTAATTCTATCACTGACAATTTATCCAAATCTTTAGTTTCTTCTGTCGTCGTAACGATAGGATCATATTTAGCTGGTAGAGTTATTAGAATTTTTTCTACCACTCTTTTGCCTGTGATATTTTCTCCAAATGCTTTTAATTGATTTACTACTTCTCTTAATTGAGTGTAGTAATATTTTACGGTCTCAGATTCTTTCATTTTCATATTTTCCAAATCTCTCCTTAGTGTTTGTAATTTTAGATGACGTACCTTATCACTTCCTTGATATTCTTCCTTTAGTGTATCCCAAGCCTCTTTTGATGTTTGTGCTCCACAGATTTTTGGGAATAAAGACTCCGCCATAGCCATTTGTAGTGTGAATAGGGCCAGACTATCTTACTCCTTCTCCCGGTCGTATTTTGCTTTGTCCACCGTAGACAAAGTGGATATGTCCTCGGGAATAGTATACCCGTTCTCGACAGTATTCCATAGGCCTTGAGACATAAAATATGTTCTCATTTTAATGGCTCAATAATTATAATTTTCGCCGAAAAAAATAGGAATTGCTATTTGATGAGTGTTTTGGGAAATGGCCATAATAAATATTTAGAAGGATATGTGAAAATAGAGTATTTGGACAAGATATGTAGAAATAGGAGGATATTGAAAATAATGTCGCCCAACTATTGATCCAACCGGGCTCTGATACCACTGTTGGTATCTAAATGTTGATATCTAAATAATTTGTACAAAAGTGTAAATAGGAGGAAGATTTATATGTAATGTATATTGATGGAAAATAGATGTTGAATGATATAATGTGTAAGAAATTTGAAGTGATTTGTCTTTTTCTGCATACTCACTCATCCGAACACACACATATATATAGTACACATGGATCATTCTAGAGTACAATAATTGATCATGTCCAACCAAATGCTCACCTAATGACAACTAATGACAAAATAATTGAACATTATTACAACCAAATTATTAAATGAGCATTAATAATTCAACATACATCTTATATTCACTCATATCTATCATAATCATGAGTAGTACTATACTCCCAGAGAAGACCCATCATCGTCAGCATCTCCATCCCCAATCTTCATCCGACTAAACAATTCACAATCATCGAATGCGTGACCCGACTGAAAGCTGTCGAGGCTCGACTCGGCCCGAATGTCGTGCAGTAAGGACACCTCGTGAGTAACCCCTTCCCCATCCTCAACAATGTCCAACCCCTCTGACGAGTACCTCCTGAACCTGTTCGCCCTAGCCGCCCCCAAAAGCCTCTTAATCGACACCTGTGTCCGCCTGCTCAGCAGCCCCTTGCTCAGCATCAGACGAAACTCCATTAAAATGACACGCAGCCTGTACGGTGCTCGCTCCATCAACAACGACCCGCACTCCTCGCAGAATCGCGCGGCAACATACACGGTCGTGTGGCTCGGTCCGATTAACAGAAGCTGCAAGACGTCCAGGGCAAGGACCTCGTACGCGACCGCCTGGTTCACTAGCTGGGCCAGAAATCTGGAAGCCACCACCATCTTTTTCCTGTCATGTTTGTCGTAAGCCGTCCTCAACTGTAAAACGACGTGCTTCACGAGCAGGAGGCCCACGTCCGGGAATCTGGAGTTGACAGCGGCCACCAAGGCGGCGTAGTGAGTGGTCAGAGATGGGGAGACTGACTGGGCCAGCATCACGGCCTGGCAGAAAGGGCCACGGCACCAGACAACGTCGTGGCTCATGATTTCTTCGGCTACGCATCGGGTGTTGTTGGAGTCGAGTTTCCAGATGAGGGCGATGATTTTGCTGGCCGTCGATAGCCACTTGAACCTCTGGCACTCGCCTTGTTCACTCGGGACGCCAAAGCTGAAATCCGAAGATATATTAGGAGAGTTCATGGAATTCTCTGTTTTGGGAGATTGCCTTTTATTTTTAGATGCGATTTTGAAGAACTCCGTTCCTTATATATAAGGAGTTCATAAGCTACGCGTTTCGAAACCCAACGGCTTATGCCAAATCTATTGGGTATATATATTTCGTGCCTTCCATAAATTTTTAGATTTTATTATATTTCTGACTAGGTATAGGAAACCGCTTTTAGTTAATTAAAACCTATATCAATTACCAGATTTTGTGGTATATATAGACCTACCAATATTAGAAAAACAAGTAAAAAAATTACACAACCCCATTATATATAATTACAGCTAATTATCTCATATACTGAGCTTAAGTAGCAGGCTCCCATGTTTCGAGATTCTATGTGACGTAATTTCATGATTCATTATTTGGCTTGGATAGATCTTAAATTACTTCTCGAAAAAAAAAATAATAATTAAGTCAGATTATCAATAGATATGTGATTATTTGTGGTCATTTTAGATATATTAGTTTCATATTAATATCATTTCATATTATAACCATTGAATTGAAATGGATTTTAAAAATTAATAGCTCTTGTATTTCTTATCAGTTTTACATATATAATATATCAAATTAATCACCTATTGATGTCTCCCGCGCGAAACCTCCCAGATCCCCTTTTCCTTCATTTGGTCGGCGCAAATTTTTCTCTGCAAGGCCCTCCGGTCGGCATTTTCTCGTCAACTTCATACTGATTCGAATCGGTGGTGGAGGGCTGGCGTCCTGACGGGCCCTCTTCGGGTGTGGCGCCTCTCTGTGTTCGCGGTGGCCATGGCTGGGGGAGGGGGTTTTCCGGCTAGTCGCGGGTTTCTCCAAAGTCGTCGGTTCCGAGCTTTGTCTTGGCGGCTGTTTGGGGTTGGAGTCTCACAGCAAGTGCACGCCTGGGTCCGATCGATTTCTATTGTTGGTATCGGTGGGCTACATTGATTGGGGCTGCCCTAATCTCAGATGGGGAGGGCAGCGATCATCGATGCGTGTGTAGAGTGGCTTGTGGTGAGCAGCCCGAGTTTTCTGACGGCGATTGTTGTTGGAAGGGTATGTGGTATTCGTGCAGATTCTGGTTAGCCGACTTCGGTCTGGAGTTTCTTGTTTCGTGTTCGATGCAGCTGGCTTAGGGCTGGGGTTGCCGGTTAGCTGATGGGAGGGATTATTCTAGTATTTTTGTTCAATTTATTTATGTTGTAAAAAAATTATGTTGTAAAACATTTTTGTTCAAGTTATTTATAATAAAATTAGTATTATATTGTTTATCAGATTAAGTGATTGTTTTTCGAACAAATTAATTTGTTTATTGTCATAGTAAAATTTCTTAAAATTGTATAAACAATTGTTATAATAAATTAAATATTTTTTGAGCTAATTAATTGGTCACGATCCCTCAAATTATAAACGTTATATTATTTTTTACATTTTATGCAATCAATATAGTGATTTATATTCAATCAAATCGTTAAGTACTATTTGTTTTAACCAATGATCAAATCATAAAATAATTTAGCATTATCTAAATTATAATTTCAATATTATATGCATAAATATATCTTCTAATACTCTATGTTTAAAATATAATATCATTATCTAACTTATAGTTTTAATATTATAAGCATACAAATAAATAATAATACTTTATTTACATCTGTGCAAATGAACATATTGACTAGTAATAATAATTTCTAGTGAGTAGCACACCCACACCTGGTTGTTGTTGTTATTATTATTATTATTATTATTATTATTTTATTATTATTATTATTATTATTATTATTATTTTATATTTTGCAAATTGATCTGGTGTATGTGTCAACTTTGCAAAAGATAAATATATAAATAAATAAAATTATTTTGTAAATTTTGTTTAAGGTAATTATTTATTTATTTATTTTACTCTAATATATGAGTTCTGCTGATTTGGTGGTCTTGCGTAGCACATGTGCATCCACGTAGGATAAATCGGCATGAATAAGCACCTACTCGTGAAACTTGGTAATTTGTAGGTAAATTGGGCACAAATTTCGAATTTTATCAAGTTACACAAAAAAAAAGATATTATGCTGCATGTGCGTCTTAGGCTAAATCGGAGGTGAGTCAACACCTACCAGTCAAATTCGGTAACTTGTAGATAAATTGGGCACGAATTTCGGGTTTAACAAGTTTTGGGGCACTTTTGCCAAACCAAAAAGATGTTGTCCACATTTGCCACACTCGCATAGTTACACGACACAAAATACAATTCTCCTTTGTTTCATGCTCTTGAGAAAGTCACCTGACTTAGTCTCTAGTGGACATGAAACTAATCCCTAGTAATACATGAGGTGCTCGTTGTAGTGGGAGGGATGCTAGACTAGGGCTGGGCACGGTTCGGATACTCGAGTTTTTTGAGGTATTTGCTAACTGAAGCGAACCGAGCAAATATTCGAACTTGCTAACCGAAACTGAACTGAAAATCTCGGTTAACCTAATTTCGGTTAACCGAAAAATCCTACTATTCGCGAAGTAACCGAAATCGAACCGAACTGAGCAAACATAACACAAATCTTCTTACTGGTTTGCAAATAATAAACCGAACTTAGCCCTAATTATTTAGATTAGGTATTTAATAAGTGACTGAGTGTTGATTAGGTATTTACTATTTAGGTTAGTTTAATATATATAAATATAATATATAATATATAATATAAATTTTAATATAATATACGGTTCGGTTCGGTTAACCGGGGTAAAAGAATCCTAAAAATCGTAACCGAACCGAACCGAGCAAATACTTCCTTTGAGGTATTTGTAACCGAACCGAGTACCCCGGTTAACCGAAAATTCGGTTTGATTTCGATTCGGATCTACGATTCAGCGGTTCGGTTCGAATTTTTTGCTCAGTCCTATGCTAGATGATCCCATATATTTGTGTTAATAAGAGAGTCGTTGGACTCATTCTCTAGTAAACACGAGAATATGAATTCATGTTCTTGAGTAAGTCTTCGGACTTAGTATCTAGTAAACCTGAATTGTTCCCTGGTTATACAATGAGTAGCTCCGAGCAAAGGATACAATATCTTAGCAAATTATCGATGATTTCTAATTTAGGGTCTCGGTCTCTAATCAGATCTTGGATCTTGTGGAATCACCAAGTGGTGTAAAGGCCATTAGGAGAGAAATCTATAAGTAAAATCGTGTAGACTTTAGCTCAAAGCTTATTGTGAAATAGTAAACTCAGAATGAATGAAATCTATTATGAGTTAGTTTTTTTCACCGGTAGCCGTGCTTTTTCACCAGACTAAAAAAGATGCCAATCTACTCAAATTGTGAAATTGTTACAAACCGAAAAACTGATCCAATATTCAATCCAGTATTCCCAGTAAATTTCCAAGCGAAAGACTATAAGTCTATAATATTCTACCAATGACCCTGTCTCTTCTTCTCTGCCCAGTCCCACAAAACTGAAAAAATGCAAAACACCATAACAAAAATCCAGAAAATAAAAATAGCAAACTAAAAAACTTTCCTCAATACAATACCCAGTGCTCCCCGTCTAACCTGACCCGGAAACCCTTCAACCTTGCGAAAAGGTGCACGGCAGCCCGGACCCCATCCCACGCATAGTCGTGCCCAAACAGCACCCCACCGGGCCTGACCACCTTGTAGGCTCGGTTTATGTCGGTCCATGCTGAGTGGAAATCATGTGCCGCGTCCACCTCCACCAGGTCCCCATACACCCCCCACTCGCACAGGCCATTGAGGGCCGTCCCAGCCGAAAACGGCAAAAAAATAATGGAGCCCGTCTCGTTAGCACTGACCACGTTCTGCATGAACTGGTACAAAAGCATGCTATCACCATTCACCATCTTCAGGCTCTTCTCGTCGTCGTAGTACCCGGGCCAGCCCCTGAAGTCGTCGATGCATATGATTTGGGCGTCCAGCCCAAGCCTGCGGGCCAGGCCGGCCATGTGGATGGAGGACGCACCGAGGAAGGTGCCGACCTCGATGATGGTGTCGGGCCGGGCCTGGCGGATGAGGTTGTTGAAGACGGGGGTGGTGGACCCCCAGCCCTTTGTCCACTGCATGTGGAGGTGGGGGCTCACGTGGGGCGGTGGGAAGCCGTCCCATGGGGAGGTTCCATTAAAGACCCGGTCGATGATGGTCTGGCGGGCCTGGGTAGGGTGGACCGGGCTAGAGCAGCGGCCCGAGAAGTAGTTGTGGTGGGAGAGGTCCCGGGCGGGCTCGGAGATGTGGGAGTGGGAGATGTAGCCGAGGATGAAGGCCGAGATGGCGGACAGGGTGAGGTAGGCCTTGGGTCGGGAGAGGCGGCTGCGGAGGTGGGGGTGGCGGTGGCGGGCGTGCGCGGGAGGGGAGGATAGGAGTTGGTGTTGCTCGTGATCGGGAATGGTGTTCATGTCTGTGCCTGATTAGTTATTACTGGTTTTTTTCTTTTGATGTCTGTCTCACTAACTAACTGATTAACCAACTAGTTGGTTTGGGATTCGAATAAATAACAAAATTTAGAAGTTATTTTTTTTATCTAAATATTGGGAAGTTCAACATATTTTTCGTTTCCCACGACGAGGGGTGGGAAATGAAAGCAGGTTGTCTTCTCTTATTGACGACCATGTTTGCTTTTCTATTTTAGAGATAATTTTTTTTTTTTTTT